TCTCGAAAGTTCGACATTAAAAGGTCTTCATAACCTTTACTATTTAGACTAATAAATGCAGTTTTTTACGGGCTTCAATTTGGTATAAAATACTTAGTGCAATCATTTTACTTTAAGGTCGAACCTGGGGGGCGTAAAGGTTTTGCAACGCCCTGTATGTTTGAAAATTTGCTTTATGTACATCAATAGAGAATCATAGATTAAGTTCGTTTTTGATATGTTCTTTCGAATCTCTTAAATTGATAACTGAAATCATCTATGAAACACTAAACATTAAGTTTTTTCTTTGATAACAGGTGAAATTGCTTTTATGATACCAACAATAATACTTAATCGAAATATTTGCTTACCTTATGCGTAGGACAAAATAAACTTCGAATAAAATTCTATCAACAACCGAACAACTAGCTTATTTGTTTGATCCGATGGGAGGATATATTTCATTTCTTATTATAGTGCGCTATAGAGGCAATTCATAACTTTTGAAGAATGATATAGGAATCCAAATCCTTTTTCCATCGTAAATCGTATGAAACGAGTTAATTCGAATTTCAGTCTACATAAAAGATAAGAATAAACTCTATCGAACTCAAAATATGAGAGCAAATAACATCAAGCTGTATTATATTTTTTCAGACATTTTCAATTACAAATTTTTTTCAAAGAATTATGCATCATAAGCTGTACAAAATATTCAATATTGTTCAAGTGTACTTAGAGCATAACAAAAGTATTGGCCGTAGCACGATTATACATTATAGAAGAGTCACAGAAATTTTCTCTATACAATTAGTTATTGTCCAAAGAGTGCTAAATATAGGAGAACATTACGAGAGAAAAGTTCACCTTACATTAATACTACAACATATAATAACTATCGTAAAACTAACTTTGTTTTTTCCTTAACTTCTGATTAATACATAGCTTATTCTTCTGATGAATTATTTTAGTAATATTGTTTGTCACGAAAATAATCAATGACTTCCATATCGAAATCATCGACAACAAGTGATTTTTATTGTGCATGTCGTAATGGATTAATAGATAAAGTTCGTGAACAATTACCAAATATGACTTTAGAAGAAATTGATCGAATTGAAGGAAATGGCTCTACAGCTCTTCATGCTGCATGTTACTATGGTCATACAGAAATAGTTAAATTATTATTAGACAAAGGTGCTAGTCTTTCAATAAAGAACGCATATAAATGTTTACCTTGTGATGAAGCACGAGAAGATGAAATTAAAAGATTATTTATACGTCAATCAGCAACTCGATTTTCTAATGATGGATCTGTTTATATTGATTGGATAAAATGTAATGCTGAAACTGAATCTCTTGCAAGTGATTATCGATTTCGTCATTTTGGATTTGAATGGAATAATAACAATATTAATCATCGTTTAAAATATATTAAAGATGAAATTTCTAATACAGAAAACGATCGTATTAAGACATTTATAAAGCAAGCAGAAAAAGATTCTCATTATCTGCTTAAAGCTTATACAGGGTGCTGCAAAACCTTTACGCCCCCCAGGTTCGACCTTAAAGTAAAATGATTGCACTAAGTATTTTATACCAAATTGAAGCCCGTAAAAAACTACATTTATGAGTACTAAATAGTAAAGGTTATGAAGACCTTTTAATGTCGAACTTTCGAGA